TAATTGCTGAAGGATGTATTTATGTGCACGAAAGCGAAAATGTGAGCAAAATTATTGTGCAACGGCGTAGAGACATACACTTACATAAATGTGCACTTATAGACATACTTTTATAGTTTTGGAGTTGCTAAAAAGTGTGCCACTTTGCGGCAATTTGCGGTATAAATAGTGCGAAAGAGGAAAGCGGAAGTAGTGTTGCAAATAATAATCAAGAAAATTAGCGCTTGCATTTCAATTTTTTGTTGAGAAAAATAGAATTGTGTTGGCGAAAACTACATAACGCCCATTTACTAAAACACCAACTCAACTTAAATAATGGAATTTTTTCTATGAAACTTACATCTTGTATGCACATTTATAATTGAATTATTTGTGGTTTCGACGTAAGTAAAGCATTTCTGTTTTCGAAATTTTGACAGTTAATTGTAAGCATTAAACATGTCTCCTGGAAAAATCCATTTTTTTAATTGTGTCAGTTTTTGCAAAAGTTAAAATTTTATTACAGTTTCCTCTATAATACCCACCTAGTGAAAACATTTGTTCGGAAAGATTTTTGTTTAAGACAACAAACGACTAAAAAGGGGCAAGACAATTTAAGGACTAAAGCTAATAAATTCTGATTTTATTATAGATTTCGGCGGAATATCGTTTCGACAACAACATTTGTTCCGCAGCTTATTTTTGAAATAGAAGAATTTTCTAGAAATGGGAGTGGAAATTTTAGGACCAAAGTTAATAAACTTCGATTTTATTGTGGAATTTGGTACCTTATCTATTCATAAGAAAAAGTTTGTTTCGCAAATTTTTTTGAAGTGAAACTTCTTTAGCTGTGGCGGTTGGCTGGGAGTAAATTGGCAAATTCAAAAGAAATTGCAACGGAAATTGCACACGGAAGTTGCAATGCAAGAATGAAAGTAAAGTTGAATACGTACATAGATAAAGAAAAGGATAAAGTCAAAGGTAAAAATAAAAACAAAAACAAAGATCAAGGTAAATTTTTTCACTTTACAGGTCTTGCCAAGTTTTGAATTTGGAAAAGTACTAAAACCTAAGAAAAATCGCTTTTTTTTCTCGAAAAAAGCACCACATTTTTTATTGGAGGATTTACTGGACTTTGTATGCATACAAATTAATAAATAAATTAATAAAAATTAAAGTTTTTTGCTCGGCTCTCGAATTTATTCTGCTTTCTAAAAATTCAATTTTTTCGTCCAAACGACGTGACGTAAACATTTTTGTTCTTATTTTCTAATTTGCAGCTGTATCCAGCGTTGCTATTTCGCTTAGATTTGCGCTGTTTAAATATTAGCTTTTCTTCGTTTTGCTTAATTTTTTTCTACAATTCCTATCAAACTAAAGTAACAACAAAAAATTATGTTTCATGAACTATGTGGAAGTTTACATCTACACTGTAGTCTCTTATGATCTCGTGAACCAAAGGAACGTAAAGAACTTTGCTTTCCGACCGCTTCACGCCTGCAATATAACAAAATTAGATTTCCCTTTTTAAAGTGTCTTATTTGAGCACATCTACCGGCGCATAGTGTAAAAAAAGCTGCCAAGTCGATTACTCTTTTTAAAAAGTTTCGTTATTCATTTCACTGATAGGAGATTCTGGTAAATACATATGCACATATAAGGACAAAGGTGAAGGCGAATATGTACATGAAGAAAATGAAAAACATAAAGTAAAAACCAAGATAAATATAAAGAAAAAGAAGAGGATGAGGATACCGATAAAAGTAAAGATGAAAATAGAGGAAGAAAGATTAAAATTAAAAGGTAATTATAGAGAGAAAAGGATATAGATAGAGGAATAGATATACACAGAGACTCATCTGGGAGCCATTTGGGGATTTTAGAGATTTTCGGGAATTATCGAAACAATAATCGATATTTTCATCGGTTTTGGTATCGATTTTGATATCGATTTTGTTATCGAAATTTTCAGAACTTATCGATATAATAATCGATTTTGTTATCGATACTTTATACATTTTTTTTCGATATTTTTAGCGATATTGTATCGATTTTGTAATCGATATTTGTATCGATATATTTATTGATATTGTTATCGATTTTGCTATCGATATTATTATCGATTTTCTTATCGATATTTTTATCGATACTGTTATCGATTATTTATCTATTTTTTTATCGGTTTTTTATCGATTTTCTAATCGATATTTGTACCGATATATTTATCGATTTTGCTATCGATATTATTAACGATTTTGCTATCGATATTTGTATCGGTTTTGTTATCGATATTTTGATGAATGTTACTATCGATTTCGTTATCGGTATAAAGATAAAAATGAAAATAAAGGAAAACAAGAAGATAAATGTAATTAGAAAGAACTGGGTAGAGGTAGGGATCTATATATCGTCGTTTAAAGTACAAAAACCGCGCATCGTCATTCTGCAAAACAGCGTAACTGACATTTGCTGGCAAAAATTGGATTTGCTCACGCAAGCTCTTCATATTCATATCGATATTAATATTAATATTGCTATTCGTATTCATATTCATATTCATATGCATATTCATGTTTATATTCTTATCATGTTTAAAAAAAGCTACCTTTAAACTTAACTTTGTATTATATTTCCAGTTGGAATTTAATTTTTGTTTTTGAAATTTATTGCAACACGCTCCTGCGGCATTACCTTTACATATAAATCGCGCTCATTCAACTGATCAAAAAAAAAATATATATCTACCACATTGTGTAGCTTGCAAAAAGTATTCATATTTGTGTGCGTGCACAAATTGCCACAATTTATGCGGCTTTTATGTTGAAGCACTGCAAAAAATTCTATGCCATTTTATGTGCATACATATATACATAGTTTCTGTTACCTTAATATAGATACGAGTATGTACGTATTTGTAGGCAAGTGAATGGCACGCACGTTGGCGCGCCTAATTTTAGGCTAGCAAACAACGTATTTTTGTACTTTTTTCTTTGCAAAACTTGCATTTTGAATTCTGTGTTAGAGCTTGATGTCGTGATGACTAGTTTGGTTGCATACATTATATGCATATGTAAGCGAGTGTGGTTGGCGTTTTGTTAGAATCATGCAGTAGAGGTAATTGCATACATGCTGCGTACTTTAATTTCATACACGTACATACACATACGTACGCACATTCACATTTATGAAAAATCTTGCATGGGGTAGACTGGTCTATGTTAGTTTTTTTTTCGCCTGCGGCATACATGAAATACAAAAGTGGCACCATTAGGATAGTTTTTTGTTAAAGCGTTTGGAAAGTTACTCGTAAGTTTCGTTACTTTTCATAGGCACGCCTATGTACATACATTTATACGTATGTAACTATTTTCGCTCCTGCCTCTTTTGCTCAAAACTTTTCAACGAACAACGATAAAATGACTCAAAGTCTTTCTCTTGTCTTTTCGTTTCGGCCTTAGGTTGAGTTTAAAGTGCAGCGAATTTTTATCGCGCTATGCGACAGCGGGTTTCTCGAATCCCAAAGTTTGCGCTCCTGATCGAAATCGCTTTTTAAAGTGTTTATTAACCAAAATCAAAAGAAATGTTTACTGCGGAACTATTCGCACACAAACAAACCACTCTCATAAGAAAACAAGTACTTGTCTGTTTCTACTAACGCGTCAGAATTTGGTAGAACAAAAATTCGTCCGAACTCGCACCCAAAGGAACCGTATATTTACGCAGTTTACCTCCTTTAGGCGTTTTTTCTTTTTGGTTTCTACCACTACTCAAGTCAGTTTTGATGAGCGCTCTTAAAATAATGCTTCTAAGGGATATGTATGTACACAGGGAGCGGGATCGAGCCGAGCAAAGCAGGCATAGCAATTTAAAATCTTTATTACTGCGCGGAGCAGCTTCGCTCAGCTAAACTCTACTGCCAGTGTATACGCACTTAGGTTAGCTTAGGTCAAAGTGAACATACTAGCACACCTAGGCCAGAAATTGTGGGCCCGCTGGGATACCAAGCGGATCGTACGAACCCTCCTTCTCAAACTATCGTTCGGAATCTGCGAAGCTCAGTTAGACCCTTAAACAATTCTGAGCCTACTAACTTTCATGCAGAGTGCAGAACATTCGCACAGCAGGTGCCACAAGACTTCTGGCCCTTTTTCATTTCTACAGCTTCTGCAGGAGTCGTTATGGGAAGTCCCTAACCTCTCTGCGTACCTTCCAATGGCAACATGGCCTATTGCAGGCCCATGACTGTGGCTAAGTCCCCTCTGCTCAGCATGCAATTTTCTGTTCTTTCAATAGTTTAATTCTATTCGAAGCGTAGGCAAATTCAGCAAATCGAAAATCATACAAATCGGTAATCCTAATTCGATGTAGCTAAAAAAAAGCTGATAGAACCTTTCACTTAAGGTAGAACTCTCGACTACTGTCTCTGAAAATACCATCCCTGCACCTTGATCTGATGGTCACTTATAGTCATTTATAGTACGGCAAAAACTGATTTTGAATAACCTTCTATTTAGACATAAATTAAGGCTTGAATTTTCTACTAAAATCCATAAGTAAAAGCGGATTTTGGCACAATATTTTTTTTTTCTTTCAATACCACAAATTTCCAGTATTTTGTTATAGTTCAATAAATTACTTTAAGTGACCATCGGGTAAAGTTGCACGTATGGTATTTTTAGGGATAGTAGTCGAGAGTTCGTGCTTTAATTTAGTTTAAGTGAAAGGTTACATAAGCTTTTGTTTTTTTGCTAGCGCCTCTCAAATGCTGCAAAAAACGCCATTTTTTTTTTTTAAATTTTGACCTCGTTTTTCTCATTCAGCTTTATCATTTGCCGTACCAAAATCAGTGTTGCCCTGTGAAATCGTTCCTGCAGAAAGCATGTAGGCTGCTTTATAGCGGAATACCACTTATATATATAAATAGGACATCGAATAAAGAAGTTTTGGAAAAAATCCATTTATCTGTTTTGTTGAACACTAAATACATACATATATACCAACACATTCAAAATCAAATTTACCTTTTTTAGTGACAGCAAAGAGGACAAACACTTTTTCACGTAAACGAAATGTAGATAGTAAAAAATTTATAACTGCAAAAGACAAATTTCGCACAGCGTGACAATGGCGACAGAGTCAGCAGCGACTGTGACAATGATGGCGGCAAAACTGTGATGGCAGCAGCTAAAAATAAAAATAGAGAAAAAGTGAAACAAATTAAATTAATTACCATTGCAAAAAGTGAGTAAAAAGCAAATGGATAAGCTTATTTATTTATTGGTATGAAATATAAAGATCGAAGGCGCTGAGTTGGATGAGTGTGGACAGGATATGTATTTGTGTACGTTTGTATGTATATTTTTAGCACAAGAAAAAACTGTTAATGAAAGTAAATGCAGCAACACAAAAAAGAAAAATGTTTCACCTACTTTCAGGCGCCAATACCATGAATTTCTTTTTATTGTCTTTTTACGTTTGCAACACTTGATAAATTAAAAGTGATGCAGATAGTAAAAAGATTGATAGATTATATAATTTCCTACTATATATATATATATATACACAAATATGTAAAAACTTGTGAAAGGAGAAGCATTGCGCAATGTGCATAGCACATCATGGTAGCAGGGCAGAATTTCTTTACGGCCGCCTATATTCACCCAAACGCCTAGAGCTATGCTATTGTGTTGATCTTATTACTTTGCCACACTTTTTCCTTTCATAATTCCATTGTTCGCCATTGAATTTTATTAATTCCTGCATTTTCCATGCAATTAAAAATTATCGACTAATTGCAAACGGATGTTGAGAGTAGGAATGAATGAATGCAGCTGAAAGCAGAAAATGTAAAAAAAATAGATAGTGGAGAGTGTTGTAAAGCAGAAAATGTGTTGCAAAATATGATAAAATTACTTTTTTTTTGTTTATATATTACATTGTTGTTACACACTCTTTATCTGCTAGACTGCTGTAGCTTTTTGCAGCTGTAGTTATTAGCAGCAATTTTTCACTTAGTTACAAAGAGAAAATAAGTAAGAAAAGAAATGAAAGCAAGTGACAAGTAAAATAGAAAAGGGCACACTGATGTTTAGTATTATATAAGCTTGAGCTGAGCACAATTTTGCATGGCATGTCCATTAGACAATAGTTAGTGTTTTATGGTGGGGGTCAACTAGCCAAGGGCTCTGTGATCAGTTCACCAGTTAGTTGAAAGAATGCAATTATGCTGAAAAGCAATTACATAAAAGAATGTCACAGTAACATTGCGCCAGTCAATGAACTAGAAACAGAGAGTGTTGGATATTAGATGTATGTAAATAAAAGAATAATAGTAAATCGCCAGCAAAAAATATACAAAAAGTGCGAAAAAAAGTTAGCAATGGAAGCGTTGAAGCAATAAAGGAACTAAGCTAAAGTTAATGAAGTTTTAGCTATAAAAGAATTAAGCTGGCAGGAAGCATGATCAAAGTAAAGTTAACAGTGGATAAATGAAAAATTAATATACACAACCGCGTAATTGAAGTGGAAATTAGCTAGGTGGAGATATTGACGTGTTGGTGGCCATGTCTCAATTGGAGTTCCTGTTAATATATGAAAACATAAAATACATAAATTGCCATACCGTTAACGCCAAGAATAATATCTTCCAATAGGATTTAATTGTCACTGCGATAATACACGCCAGTTTACTTAATTAGTTACATTATTCAACAACGCTTTTATCAAATGGCGTCAGAACTTTTCCAGAGGAAAGACTAAACGAGGAAGAAACCTAACAGGGCAATTTTGGCTAAGATAGTCAACAGTCTTTCGTTAGGCAAATGAAAGATAGATGGCGAGATAATTCGAAAGACTTTTTGTTATTCTAGCACAAAAGCTCTGTCATTCACCACTTGTGGTGAAAAGCTATTAGATAAAGCACTTCGAGAGATCCGAGTTCGGGTCCTGGTACAGCGGAATAATTTTTCTCTGTTTTTTAGTCTATATACATGTATGTACATATATATATTTTTTAATTTAATTTAATTTTTGGAAACTTTTTTTGTGTATTTCTTCAATGGTCTGGTTATTGTTTTTAAAAAATATTTTTTTATAATTTTATTTAAATTTTTGGAATTTATCTATTTTATTTTCGTCTTTTTTTAATTATTTTCTTTTAGTTAATTTTGTTTTAAAATTTTATATTTTATTGCGTAAAAAATAAAAATGTTTTTTTTTTTTACATTTACACTTTTAGAAATTTGTTATAGTTTATTGAGTTAATATTTTTTCAATTTAATTATTTTTAATTTTTTGATTTTATTCTTAAAAAATATATATAGTTTTTATTTAATTTAATTTTTAGAATCTTACTAATTTTTTGCCTTTTTTAACAAAAATATTATTAAATTTTTAAGTACTATTACCTTCATTTCTAATAATATATTTTTTTTCTTTTTCGAATTTAATTTACTTTTATTTGCCAGCTTTTATTGTTTTAACCCTTCCGCAACCAAATTTTCATGAAAATTCTTTAATTACAGAGTTAGGTAATTCTAAATAAGCTGCGGCGTTGTCTATTCGTTAAGAGCATAATCAACCAAAGTAAAGAGCTTTTAAGATAGTTGCCAGAATTGACAACTGTCTTACGAAAGACTTTTCGTCTCTCGAACGACAGCCAGTGCCACTAAGTCTGGCGGCCGCTTTTCCTGCAGCCGCTTTACCTACGATATCGACAGACGCTGTGTTGAGTACCCCACTGATTCCAATGAGGGCAGCTCAATGCGCTCGCTCCAACCTGTTGACTACCGTAGCCTTCTCCAGTGCATTCCACCAGACAGAGACACCATAAAACTTAATATCCGTATTTACTACGCGACGGCGTTTTTATGAAGGTCGGAACTTTTCTATCGAAATTTAAAAATTTAGATGTCAAAAACTAGATGCCAAATTTAAGTCTAACTAGCGGAGATATGCAATAAGGTCTTACGTTTTATTATTAGAACAATATTATAGCGCCATAGGAGCTATGTATGTATGCTGTGTTTGGTTTTTTGTTATTTTTTTGGCATAATGAATGCCATTAAAAAATTTTTATTGAGCTTGAAGACGTTTTTTGAAAAGTTATTGTGGAAAAAACCACATTTATAAAGTCTAATAGTATTTATTAGACCAAAAAATAACAAAAAAACCAAATACTTAAGGAAGAGTACGACATCAAGTTAAAATTCTTAAATTAAAAAAATAACTAACAAAAAACAAAAACAACAACCATATGATCAAGTCTAAATAGCAGCCGAATAGCTGCCCCTGGTTGCGGTTGGGTTGGCATATGCAAAAAGTGGAAAAAGCAACTGGGTAGACCATTGGTTTTATACGCTGGGGTGGCTGTGTCGAATCCCAGTGAAGAAGTCTGATGAGAAGATGTGGTGATCTCCGAAATAGCAGCTAGAACTTCTACCATTAATAAAATTTTGTTGTTTTTTCCACAATAATTTTTCAAAAACCGGCCTTAAGCTCAATTAAAATTGTTTCATATAAAATGCTATTTTAGGTGTTTGAAGAGGATTGCCGTTTGTTTAAAAAGCTAAGTTCATCTTTAGCATTTTAATGTCATACAAGTTCACTAAATATTTCATGCTATTAAGCGATAATGCACTTGCACACTATTGAGTCCTCTGTTTATTCCCGATTTCGCCGCAAAAACACATCAATAACTACGTACATGCACGTACATAAATACTAAAACTTGCAGACGAAGGAAAAACTATCCGCTTTTCACACTTGCCATACACGCTTACAGATACGAGCAAACAATTGCAGTTTGTGGTAGACATAAGTCATCGGAAGAGTGATTCAGGTGAATTTAACCCTTTCACGATTGGTTTATCAGCTAAGATTATGCGCTTCCTGGCGTTGTGAGGCCGCAACTTCCTAACATCGCTGACAGTTGCATCGCCATAGCGATACATATTCAAATGTTTGTATGTATGTATATTTGTATATCTGTAAGTTTGCGATTGGCATGCAAATACACATAAAGCAAGAGTGGACCAGTAGTAATATTAGTAGCCTGCAGCATGTAAAGAATGCGCTGGAGATATCGCATGCACAAGCAAGTAAGTATGTTATTTGCAATTGTGCAAACTCATGGGCGCAATGTGTTTTGCTAGGCAGCTTACAACGACGCCAAACATTTCGTATGCAATGCTGGTATGGAAAAATTGGTGTGAAAATGGAAAATTGCACGTTTCGCACACTTGCGTGCGTGGTTGCGGATGGTGGTGCGTGGCGATGGTGGTGGTTGGGTGATGGTGTCGGCGTGTTGGCAGACGCGTCGGTTATCATCATAAATCATGTTTTTAGTTTTCACACTGTACGCTGTTGGCCCATGGTGCTAAGTTTTTCTGGTTTGCTTTACGTTTTTGGTTAACTTTTTTTTGGTTTTAGGGTTTTTTTGTGTAGCAACATTAATTCTAGTCATTCCTCATGTTGCCTTACTTTTTATTTTTTTGGCAGTAGGAAAGCAATTTTTCGCGCGAGTTTTGGCCACAACAAACTTACAAAATTGCAATGTTACTTTATCTGCATTTATGTATGTTCGTGCGTGTGTTGGTTGGTAGTGTTTTATGTGCTTTATTTGAACTATGGAATTGTTCTGTCGCTAGAGGGTTACTATTGTTTGTTACTTTAGTTTTTACTATTTATTGCTTTCGATTGAAAAATTGCGAACATATACTATCTGTGTATGTAAGCGTGAAAGTTCTCAGCAAGTTGGCCAATCAATATGCAATATGGGAAGAGGAATTGAATTAGAATTTTTTTAGGCAATAATAAAACGTTATATGAAATTGAAATTTTCGAAAATTTCGAAAATTTCTCGCACATTTCAATATATGTGCTTACTGGAGTGCGCACTCTGGATGGTGATGTTTAAGAAATCGACTACTCTGCCCCTAAACACAACTGCGATAGGCTCCTTAAGACGAGCATCCCGTTAAGAAGGAGATGGCTACCACCAAGCCCAGGGAGAAGGGGGGAATTGATTTTTTGCACGGATGGGTCCTAGCTGGCTACAGAATTTGTTTAAGAAGTAAGGACTGGAATTGTCGGTCCAAATTCCGGACCACTGGACCGTTTGTCAGGAAGAAATTTTATTAAAATTGGTGTGAATGTATGATTATGGTGGTCCAAAAGTGCATGTG